TGTGTTATTGATCTTTTCTTGGTTAGAAAATCATCCTGGTAGATAACATCCACTTTTTTGAAAAGAAGTAATGTTTTAAGTCATCAGCTTAAGGTGCAAGTAGGTCACTTTTTGAACCTTTGGTCTAAGTTGCCCGCTGTTTCCAGTCATCATGCTAAGCTAATAATTTCCTTGCCTTAGGTTCATAATTACCCAACCATGAGGGATATTTTTAGCTATTTCTCAGCAAGAAATACAGTTGATCTGGAACATGTTTAGTTTGACTGTGAATCTAAGGTCACTGATACTGAGCTGTGAATTTAATGAAGATTGTTAGATCAGGAATATCTGGATTAAGAAAAAAAAATCATCTTTACATGACGCCCTGTGTGACAGTGCACAACAGCTTCTCTTTGTATCACCCTGTCATGTTTATTACAGTATAAAAGTATAGAGTTCAAATCAGTAGACTGGATCGGCCGCTGATGACGAAGCGTGCACATGGCTCTAATTAATGTCCAGATTTTTGCCATCTTTTCTGATTAAACAGCAACCTTTATAATCACATTAAGTGCCCCGTGTCGTACCTTTACAGGCTAGTAAATATTTTGTCAGCTGCACTAAATGATTTACCGACCACTGAAACCAAAATTTATTCTACACTCATGTATGCTTCCCCAGTTGTGCAAGAAGAGCTTAAAAAGGTGATTCGGTTTTGACTATAACAGTGAGGGTGTGAGGGTGCAAAAGCAGCTCAAAAACACACTGATGTACAGTGAGGCTTCTCCTGTTAATCTGAAAGGGGCCACACCGGTAGTTGTCGAACCTTATTGATCATTTTTATTCACACCTTTATCCGTAATTCCTGTGCAGAATGTCGCGTGAAGATAGATTAACCAAAAAAAGGAGAAAGAGAGCAACTCGAGAAGACGACAAGCCACATTTTACTCCTCTATTTTATTCTGAAGGAGCTGGAAAGGAGGAATCTGACTCATTCTGGCGCTAATATGTTACTACCAGTTACAGTGTAGGGGTCATGCCAAGTCACAGAAACTTGTGGTGTAAAGTTTTAATTCATTCCCCCTTAAAGATAACATTTGACCTTAGTATATATCAATAAATCTGTGGTTTGATGTTCATTAGAGGAGGTTATCCCTACTAAGCTGTATAGTCAGAGATCAGCTTTACTAACCTCTGACGCACACCCGGTCATTTTGTTCTAGAAACAGGCTTGAAACGTGCCAGAAACGTGTTCGTTTAGAAAAGAAAAACAGGGGTTATTCCTACTAGCCGTCCATAATGTAAATCACAGCAACAGGCCAATAAAATCACAGGAAGTTGAGCTGTATCATAGTTACTCAGTAGAAGATGCAGCTGTGGCTCAGCAGACAGTTCACATGAGGACATAAACCTTTTCTGTAAATGATGCGGTGAGGGGATCTGAAGAGCCATGATGCTGGAAGTGGAGGAGGATGATTAGCCAAAGACTATATGCCATGCTCAGGGTTTATGGTGATGGAAAGAGTGTGACTGATAGGGCAGTGAGATGGAAGGCAGATGTGTACATATATATACACACACATACACACACATACACACGCACACGCAGTAGAGGAGAATGAGTGTGAGTCTTTAGATAGGTGCCCTTGCTGTCATTTCTTAGATAATGTGGTTGACCAAAGTAATAAATGTGCCTCGGTGGGCAACACACATCCTTTAAACATGTGAAATATAAATCTACATACATGTGTTTGTCATTCCGGGTTGGTTTCCTTAACGTCATCGATTTTTTTCCTCTTTTTTTTGCCATTGCACGCCATCATATCCGAATCGGTTAAAAATTAGTTGAATAATTGATTCCTGTGTTGCAAATCTTAGGACAGCTGTTGTCCATTATAATAATTTAACTCATATTTTACTGATTATTCTTCCATAGACATACCAAAAGTTTGCATCACCCAGAGCTAGAATTGTGGTTTTAACCATGCTTCATCGAGGGAGACGATTTAGCTCAAAGCCACGCTTGTCAAAATGATATTTGAGCTAGAGTACAAAAAGAACTTATGCTTACCTACGAATCCCTCTTATTAAATATCGTTAGCCGTTTCCTGTAAGGCGGCTCTGTAGTGTAGTGGTCTACACATTCACATAAAAAGTAAAAGATCCCTGGAGGAGACACAAATCCCTTGGAGGTTGAATCGGGAAGGACGTCCAGCATAAAAAATCTGGCAAATCAAATATGTAGAGTGACACCTTGTGATAAAGGAGGAGCTGAAAGTAGCTTATTGAGACTCTAGTATCAACATACTGTATGTGGGTGTTGGAGGATAGGGGTGCTCAAGTACTCATGAAAGGAATTGTGGTATATTTATTACAACTGAGCTCCTGTTTGAAACAGCCAATGTGCTATCTGAAAGACTTCCCTTTTCTTAAAAAAACAACAAACTAATGGTATCATCGACAGGCCAGTTACTGGAGCTGGTGTTCTGGTTGGGTTGCATCACGAGTGATCAGAAGCCATTTTCATGCGTAATGATTTTCAGCTCGAGGACTCATTTATTCCAGCAATTGAAAAACGAGCCAGTTCATTAATTATGTGGGATACTCAAGTCGTTTAGCATATTTACTGTATTTAGAGCACTGTTGAAATAGATCAGCCCCGATTAACCAGGAAACTCTTCAGTTTTACAATAAGCTGTTTATATTTCATTCGGGATCGTGCGTTTAAATTCTCGCTGAAGAGTCACAACTGACCTCTATCATAACTCTTCAGTGCCAGTATTTCATGAAAGCCACAAACCTCCCATGCACTACTCTGATGAGTTCACGTGCTGTTCGCACACAGCTGAGCAGAGGTAGCGGCGGTGAGGGGATGCTTCTGGGAAACTGGACCCCGGTCAGTGCTGTAGTGGGAGAAACTGAAACTATGGGGCTGAGGGGCTGCGGCGCTGGCTCTGGTTCGCTGGCGCCACATCCCCCTGAGCTGGTGAGAATGTGGGGGCTGTGCTCTTGCCTTTGAAGCTTTACCTCCCACTAATTCTGGCCTTCCAGTTTCCACACACTGCACAGACACCCCCCCCCCC